TTGAATTCTGTATAATTTGTGCTTTTCAATAACCTCAGCATGTGTTGGATGTGTACAAAAAGAACCGTAAAATAAAATTGCAGACAAAGAGGGGAGTCAGAACACAGAAAGGGGAAGAATCGGTTGATTCCACGAGCCAAACAATGGGTCATAATAAATTCGCCAGCCATTAGCTCTTTGGTTGCACAGAACAAAGAGAATGAAACGAAATGGGGAAAAAAAGAATCACAGTTAACTGTTAGGTGGCTGGCCTGTTTCCATTTGGCCAACTAGACAGATCACGGGATGAGCCAGGGAGCTGCCCGGGGGCATCTGCCACCTCCATGGGGCGGCCCCCCCACCGGTGTGCAGCCCAGCCATGGCTCTTCCATATGTTCAGGTGCCACTGGGGCGATTTTTCCTTAGGAAAAACATGTAATAAAAAGATCCAATTGTGTTTTAATCAGCCATCAGTTAATCCGTAGTTATATGCTCCCCAAAGAATTATAAGACAGATAGGGTGTGAAAGGAGAAATGCAAGGATATAAAGAGAAGAACATGCAGAAAGAAACTGAAGGAAAAGCAGAGGGAAAGAAGAGAGAGCAACTGGCAGAGAAGGATGATCATAATAATCAGAACTACAGTTGCCAGTGCTGCCTTTCCCACCAGCAGCGCCATCATCGTTTTTTGAGTATTAACTATGGACTCAAACCTAAGGGCAGCCCTCCCCTCAGAACAGAGCCCTGGCAGCTCTCCACACACCTCCCAGGAGCCCTGTGAGGATTGCTGTGAGACTGTCATCTTGTCTGAGCATGTCTCAATCGCTAAATTTCCCACCTTAGTTTTTAGTTATCTTGTAATTTGTCCGTCCTTCCAGGAGACTCCAAGGTCCTTGACTGTAGAGTCTGGAGTTCACCCATGTATCCTAAATGCCAAGCATTGAGCCTGACCCATTTTAGGTACCCAAACAATATTTATGAAGTGAATGAATGTGTTTTGGATGGATGGATAAATGGATGGATGGATGGATGG